AGCAGTAATCTATTGATATTATTGACTTGATGTTATTTAAACAACGACATTAATGCTGTTAATAACACTAATTCATTCATTCACCATATAACTGTAGAGCCTGATGATGAAGAGGTTATCAAAAAGAGTATTCATTGTTCAGCAACCACTCTTTTGAAAAATAGATATGCATCACTAATCAATCATACGTGATTTAATTTCCCGATTGTCTTTATCTTCTTACGGAGAGGTCAAAAAATGCTTTACAAATAGTCGTTTTCCCATACGCATACATCATTGTAAACCACATATACATAAATATTTATTCAAATTCATTAATTTATGACCATGAATTTTAGTCGAGTGTAATCACTAACAGTCAATTGGTGGTAACTAGCAGTGGAATCCAGAATGCGCATTCTATTTGGGACTCGTCAGCCAGTGGATGTACCTGCATGGGGCCAGTTGAAAATGACTGCAGAAAATACGACGGAGTGGAGATGTGCTGTTGAACCCCTATGTTTCATAAGGAACCCAAGGAAAAAAGTAATTGTCTATACATCCCAATTCTCTCATTAGGATATGCCGTTCAAGACTATTAGGCGACTGCTTATCCTATGCATTAACCAATTCAGAAGTGACTTTAGTTAGACAAACGCTGCAAAACCAGTAAAAACTCAAAAACTAGTGACTAACTAATTTAAGTGTTGGTTTGTAGGGATTTGGTTGATTGGTTACAGGATTTCATCATAAGCTGACGTTGGTTAGAGAACCATTGGAAAACCAACAGGAAGTACTGGATAGCTGTTTCGTCCTAATTTGGCACTCTTCATCAGTACGCACTCACCGAGGTTCGAACCCGGTGACTAACTACCCTAAGAAGTTATCTGAAGTTCTAGTGATAAAAAGTAATGAGCACCAGCTGGGTCGATCAAGTTGGGTGGTGTGAGGAGAAGTGGTCAACGATGACACCAGCTGGAGGTCACACTACATGCATCATAAATGGATAGGAGTTGTGATTCATGAACTGGCCATCAAATTCAGTCTCATTGTCTAAATAAACGGTCAAAAAGCTTACCTTGTCATCTGAAAGTCTTAAAACTGGTCTGTGCTGGATGAGGAGTGGGGTGGGGTGGGTGTAGGGTTGGTCATGTATATGAACTGTTGAAGCATCTCAGGCAAGCAAGGATGAAACACACCTGGTTTTCAAAATCGTGTGTTTCACTTAAAAAAAAACTTATGATTACAACTTTCAAACTTTCATGAGACTTAGATCTTTATTGTACACACACCTTATCATAGTAATCATCAACCTTCTGAGGAAAAAACAAACAAACGGATCTACTACCATTACCGGAAACAGAGATGAAGCGACTACTGCTGCTCTGTAAAAAAGATATACAATTCATATTCAACAATCAACTTTAACGACAAATTGATGGGATCGCAATGGGTTCGCCTCTGGGACCTATCCTGGCTGATATCTTCATGGGCTACCTTGAACAGACACAACTGAGTTCTGCTATCAATGAAATAATCTACTAAAGTATGTTATTATCAACTATATAACCATTGTAATATCAGGGTATTGGTGTGCAGCTGATGAGAACCTGTGAGATAGAATGATGATATCATGATTATACTGCAAAATTTCGTCTTCCTTTCTTTATCGAAATAAATTAACCTTCATATATACATTCATCATTAAGCGCACAGAAATACTAGAATAAATAACATTTTATACAAATGGATATAATTAACTGTTAACATGCAGACTCACGGACACACACACACACACACACAAGAACACCATTAATTAGAAATACTCCACAAAGTCATTGTATAGGAGAGGAAATTAATAACACACTACTAATTACATTTATCTCAGTAGTCTAATAACTTTTCAATGATTGATTAATAGACGATAAGATGATTTATAATAATAAATTAAGGTAATTGTTATGTAATAATGATTCCTGTAATTTGTAATTCATAGACATATATAATAGTAATTATAATAATCTAACCGATCTCATGATTTCCTTTGACTTTTTATATTGCCTGCCACTGAATGAAACCCCTTTATGACATCCACACATAACTTACTGATGTAGAACTTTTAACACATAATGTTGTCACGAGCTGATACAGCAGTTAAAGAACCATTGGAAAAACAATCATCAAAGAGCACTGGACACGTGATTTGTCACAGTTTCTTGGACTCTTCAACAGTCGCTACGCAACCATCACTCTATCCCAATGATAGATCAACCCTAGAACCTTTCGATTAGAAGTGCTTGCTGACCATTTTTAAATCATTTAATCTCTGGTATGGTTACAGGTGTATATTTCTGAGGAGTCCTAGACAAAGAAAAAACAGCTTCCGGGTACTTCCTGGTTCTGCAACTAAAATCTCTTTATGATCAGAACAAAGACAAGTGATCAGGAGTGTACAGCAGGTCGGGCGTGAGGACAAATGCTCACCACCGATGACACTCACTCCTGGAAGTTGAGCAGTGTCGTCAGTTGGCAGGAGTTGGAATTCATGGGCTGGCCATGTAGATCGGGTCGGCTCCCACTGGCTTAATAGTCTACAAACTCGCTAGTCTTGTAACTGGGTTCAGACCATGTTGGTGGTGAGTGCGTATTTTTGAAGAGTCCCAAACTAGGCTGACGTAACAGTTGGCTGTCACATTACTTCCAGCTGGTTTTCCAATTATTTTCTATCTGATGTCAGCCCATGGTGAAATCCATTAACCAATATCAAAGGGGAAATACAACTGAGGTTGCAAAGGAGCCAATAACGTTTCGGTGCTTGGATTGTACAATACTACTCACTACATCACAGAAACGATTAATCGAAAGAACACCTGACAGTAAGTTCACTACTTTAATACCCAATATTACTAGATCGATGAAACCATGATCTATAATACACACCAATGAGTCAATGGAAAGGATATGATTCGTTGTCATCCCTTTGGTTATACTCATTATCACAGAGTAAACGATTCTAACGATTTTGTGGATCCCATTACAGGCACCAATACCAATTCTACTGAAGGATTTCGGGGTAGAATTGATGAATACGATTAGAGCAATTTTAACGGGTTTCAAAAGGACGTCTCATGTACAGTCATCTAGGTGAATCCATGTATAGAATATGGTGTACTGCTCAGAGGTTGGCTACATCCTCTCCTTTATAGCTGTGAGACACGGTGGCCATTGAAAGTGGAAGATATGAAAAGGTTAGTTAGCTGTCTTTCATCATACGTGCCTGCGTTCTATCTTCCGTGTTAGATGGCATAATAGGATGAGCAATAATCAATCGACGAGGTTGTGAAGTTACGCCAACTGAACGAGATGGTTAGGGCATGTGTCATGCATGCTTAGCCACTGTTATCCTCGACGAGGGATGTTAGCTGACATAGTATCAGGTTGGCACAGAGCCAGTCGTTGGTGGTCAAACCAAAACATGGCTTCATCAATCAGTGAAATCCACAACAGTTCGTTTAATCCACGAAGGGAGGTGTAGACTGTGGGGTTCTTTGTGATCCTTGACATGGTAATAACCAATGACGACTGGCGACAATCGGTGACATGGCTCAAAATCGTTGTCAATGGATGGCACAGATGTATTCACTCTTTGTGATTTATAAAATCTAGTAAAATTCTATTGTTCTTCCATACAACTAACTCGTATTGTTCCCTCACTCACACTTCTGTTTATTACCTCTCTGTCGTTGAATCTGCCTCTCGCTTTGTGTGCCTCAAGGAGCGAGAGTGACAACTCGAGCTGGTGTACAACTGTGCACCGGTCAGTCAGTCAGTCAGTCGGTTTGACACGTCTATGCAAAATATATTTATACGTAGAAATCGCCTTTTTTCATGTGATCAATGAGTTCAAGATCGTTTGTTTGTTGTTAATTTTTGAGGCTTAAAGTGTTTAACTTCGACTATGTCCCCTTCCCCTCCCTACTAACAGCAGAAGGCATTAAAGCAAAGAATAGCCGTATAATACACAACAAAATGTTCTACATTAAATGAGATGAGAAATACAACTAATCAAATGAGTAGATTTCATCTAGTTGTCGTTAAGACTTCACGTAAACATAGAGAAAACAGAGCTGATAAAGATTCCTGGCCAACAGCAACGACGAAAGCAACAACAACAGACAACAATCAGCATAAATCGGAGAAGTCTGACAGAAGAAGCCTCTTTCACTTACCGACCTGGGAAGCATCGTTTCAATTACACGCGGTCGGAACTGATGATGATATGAAAGCTCATGAACTGGGAAAACAAGGCAACCTTTCATTGCTCTCAAGTCTGCGTGGAGAACGACAGCACTCAGCACTCAACATGAACAATAAGATCCGGATTTTCAGCTCCATTGTGAAGTCAGTGCTACTTACTATATGGATCAGAGACTTCGTGACACGGCGCGACGCGGCGTAGCACGAAGGGCACTTTGAATAAACTACACACCTTCATCAACAGCTGTCTTCGCTCAATACTATTCAAGATCAGATGGCTGGCCAGAGACGACTAGCAACATTCATCTCTGGTAATGAACGAACCAACCCATCAGGAAATGACTGTGCAGCAAATAAGCAGGAAGAAATGGAGGTGGATTAGCCATACTCTGAGAAAACAAATCACCAAGTGACAACACACTCCAGGCAACTGCTTGATTGGAACCCGGTCAAATGGGGAGCGGCAAGTCAGTTGATCGTCAGTGCGAGAGTGATATGGAGGAGGTCATGTGAAGAGGAGATGAAGGCATGTGGGCAGACGTGAAGCCAGGTGAAAACGTTGGGACGAGGAAGAAACAAACACAATGTAGAAAGTGCGTCTGAAGCTCTATGTTCCTCTAGGAACTAAAGGAGCACCACCAGTGGTTCAAAAAGCCTTCAATCGTACTGTCATATTTTCTACAGTTGTTGCTATTTGATGGTAAGAACAGAAACAATCAAGAGTGAAAAAGGGTCACCGTATGAGATGTAAAACAAAAACTTACCGATCCATGGCAATTTCGACACCCAGGCATCATACTTATCTGATAAATCTGTAAGGAAAGACAGAGAGACAGAGAGGAAGTGGAAACAAGAGGATTAGTGTGTGACATATATACATAAAGCATTAACACACACACACACATTACAATAAGTAAGATTCTAGGAGTTTAGTTCAATGAGCACACACACACACACAGTGAAAATCCACAGACCCATCCGTAGCTAAGTGAAGGCGATTGTATATTAATATGAAGGGTTATATGATTGAAGGTGTAACGGATATCTGAGTCATGGTAGGTTGAGAACCAGTTGGGATTGTAGCTAGCTCAGTGTTCTACTAAAACTTGAGCTACCAGACCCAATCAAAGCATCACAGATGCTATCAAGGTGTCACCACCATATCATTATAACATAAGTAATAAAAATAAATTTTTAATAATAATAATTTTTGCTTTATTCCATAGTAGTCAGGAAATTCAAAAGCTGTTTTGGACACAATTTATCAATAAATTCATTGTTGATTGGTACTGAAAAATATATATTGAAATTGAGAAATGTAGAGGGCTTTTATACGAATTCTGACCAAGATATAGCCAAGATATATGCGAGTTTACGCCGTCTCTGGCGTAGACGTGATATCCGACTATCGACCAAAGGGCGGGTGTACTGCTGACCAGACCGCTACGTCGTCCTTTATGACTGTGAGACCTGGCCACTGAGAGTGAAGACATGAAAAGACTAGCTGTCTTTGATCATAGGTGCCTGCGCTTTATTTCCCGTGTAAAGTGGCATAATAAGGTGAGCAATATTGAGGTTAAGCGTCGAGTTCTAGGTAAACAGGGGAAATCAATCGACGAGGCTATGAAATTACATCGACTGAGATGGTTAGGACATGTGTTACGTATGCCTAGTCATCGCCTTCCTCGACGACGGGAAATGTTAGCGGATATAGGGTCAGGCTGGAAAAAAGCTAGCGGAGGTCAAACAAAAATATATCTCCACCAGTCAATGAAATCTACAACAGTTAGTCTAAGCCAAACACGTAGGAAAGTGTAGACTTCCTGACTGGTTGGGGTCCTCGGGACGGAAAATACCAATGACGGCTGGAAACAATCGGTGATATGGCTCAAACTCATCGTTCTCAGTGATGGCTAGCGCAGATGCATCCACTCCTTGTGACTTATGATTTCCAATGACACTGTTTTGTTCTTCGTTATTACTCCTCCTTTGTCTCACACCTCTGTTTACTGTCTCTATTATGCATTTCTTTTTACTTTCTTCTCTTGCTTTGTGTGATACATGGAGTGGAGTGTGGCGACTTGAACTGCCGCATATATGTGCAAAGTTATATGTCGAAAAAGGACAGACAAACAGACTACACATTCACACACTTACATGATTTTGAAGAAGCATTACCCAGCTGATAGTTGATTAGTGTAATCAATTCACAATCGGCTTCATCTTGTGATAAATTCAACTGATTTATAGGAACATTTAAATTACAATCGGGAAGATTATCACAACGCATTGTAGCTTGAACACAGACTGCTTGATCAATAACAACAACATCAGGAAGAGAAGGATTATTATTACTACTATTAATTGGATTGGCTAATGTTGATGAATTTATCTGGTTAAGACCAACAACATCAGTAGCAGAAGTAGGAGAGGGTTGAATACACCAAAATCCAGAGAAAAATTCACATAAAGATTTTTCTAAAATGAAAAAGTTAAAATTTAAAAAAAAACATACATTACAATGTCACACACATACTGTTGAATTGTTTCAACTGATTGCATTCTTATTCAAGTATTTATTGGTTTGTAGGGATTTGGTTTACAGGATTCCATCATGAGCTGACAATGGTTAGAGAACCATTAGAAAACCTGATACTACTAGACAGCTGTTTCATCCTAGTTTGGGACTCTTCATCAGTTTGCACCCACCACTGACATAGTTCGAACCCAGGACCTTTGATTACAAGGCGAGCTTGTGTTCACATTAAGCCACTGGGACCCGATCCAACGGCCAGTCCATGAGTTCTAACCTCTGCCAATTCACGATATATAGCTCAACCGCTAGCCAATGTCTTCGGTGGCGAGTATTTGTCCTCATACCCGACATGCTGTACCCAACTGGTAAAGACTTCCCACTGGAATCCCAGGTAACTAACTACCTACTTGAATAGGGCCAGTCGCCAGTAAGCATGCTCACTAGAACGAAACAGCTGTCCAGTACTCCCAGGTTTTCTGATGGTTCACTAACCAATGTCAGCTCATGATGAAATCCTGTGATTGCATTCTTATTTCACAAGAAGAAAGCAGTAGATCGCTTACTGAGGCTGAGGGTCCCTCAAGGCACTATTCATTCTTGTTTTCTGTTTTCTTTCTTCTGGCACAACCTGCCTCACTCTGATGATGATGATGAAATGAAATTTGCTAACTATGCTGATGATCATCCGACTATTTCAATGCCTGTTAACTCCCAGATAGACTGAACTAAGATGAATAGCTCTCTACCAGAAGTCAAACAATGGTCTTTGTCTAATAGTCGGTCTTAAATTAAATCCTTCTAAATGTCAGACTGTTAATTTCAAGTTTAGATGAAAAAGAAAGTTAAATGATGAAGCTGTTAATTTCCATGATCGTTGTAAAATTGATAATATTGATGATATAAAGAAATCCAGTCTGACGTTAAATATCTTCGATTAATTCCTACTTCTGATCTATTCTGGTCTTCTCATGTCACAGCGAATTCAAAGTGAAATATTCCATATGACTTTTTTACATTAGGAAGTTAAGGCACTCGGGAATAATAGTAATAATAATTTACTTTATTCCAAAACAGACAGTACTTATAATACAGAATGGAATTTTCAGCATTTGTCACAATATTCCATCTGATTTACTCAAAATATAAATAAAATTAAAACAAAAGTAACCAGAGGAATTCGTCCACGTTTACGATAAAAAGTCAAAAATATTCAAAGCACGAACTGAGATCATTAAATATTAATAATAATAGTAATAACAGTGAGTTTGTTTCAAACAATATTGTCGATTCATTTTGGAAATTTTAGCATGTTATTATAGAGTATTGGGCGAAGTACAAGAATAGCGTCCCAGGAGTGCGAACGCTTCAATGACCTTGAACGCATGCTAGTCGTTGGCTAGCGGCACCGGTCATTATCATAGCTGAAATATCGACCCTATTCATCAAATAAGGAGCAAATTTCACTCAGATAACGCTTTTAATTACTGTTTGGATAATGTTTTAACATATCATTAGGGTTAGGATTAGGGTTAAGGCGAGTATTGGGGTTAGGGTTACGGTCATAATTGGGATTAGGGTTAGGTTTACGGCTGGATAAGGATTATCGTTAGGGTTAGGATTAAGGAAAGGGCTAGTGTGAAATTTAGGGTTAGGGTCAGGATTAAGGTTAGGGTTGTGATTAGGGATAGATTTATAGTTAATGTTGTTTATTTTAATTTGTTTTATTCTCATTTCCCTTGTATGAAGTCGTCGATCCTCTTACTGAAATCATAGTAATTTAACCGAGGGCTTTGGAGAGGACTATACAGCAAGAGAAGAGAGATGAACGATTCACAAAACAGCCAATCTTCAGTCACTTTGGTGAATACATCTATAGAAACCAGTTCAACTTAGCAACTGATGCTTTCCATCATAACTGGGACGTATTTTTAAGTCATATCAGAGAAAGATAATCCGTTTAATGTGTTTTCATTCATTTTCTTGTGAATATACGTCATTTTTTGTGCAAAAATTCCTCATTTTTATTATTGGCAGGCTGAAGGACACTCGTGCGTTCGCATCCCTTGGGACGCTACTGTTAAACTTTGCCAAGTATTGAATCTAATGTTCTTTTGATATAGTATAGTGAGGGGAAATACAAAATTAACAGTGGTAACATAGCTTAAATGATGTTCACATTTACAAAAAATAAATAAAAACAAAAAATTGAGAGGATTATAAATACAAGAAATACAATAACAATAAAGTCTGGTACTGTAAGGGTGGAAGAAATGGCTTATTTAGTAGTGCAAAGAAGGTTAGTTAGTTCATGCCTGACACTATTTTCATCACATAAAGTATGTGCCAAATATGCTATCGTGGAAGTTCTATAGTTAGACGTACGTGTATAAAGTCTTCTGAAAAGACTTCTTGTTTTACCTGAGGAGACACAAGGTTGGAGCTGCGGTGGATGCTCACAGTCTGACAAAATTCCTTTAGCAAATTTGTTACATGACATCAAGTGCCTATCAGTAACAATGCGAACGATTGTTAAAACTAAACATCTCCTGTTCTTACAGTTTGTCAACTCTAGCATCTTACCTATTCTTCTCTACAGTTCACCCAAATTCTTTCCTTGATTGCTTAAAACAGACTATGCCATATTTCGTAGAACTCTGAAGACTGTCAATAGGGCGAGTGGTGGTATTCCATCGGGCCAGATCGTTGACATCGTCACTGATAGGCACCTAATTTCATGCAATAAATTCGCCAAAAGGGATTTTGTCAGACTGTGAGTATCCACCTCAGCACCCACAGCTTTCGCCTCACACCCTCTCCTCCTCGTCGGGTAGAATAAGAAGTCGTTTCACCAAAAGACTTTATGCACGCACGTTTAAGTATAAAAATTCCATGATACCATATTTCGCACGCATTGTTTTATGTGATCAAAATAGTGTCAGGAAAGAAATAACTACCTACCTAACTAACTAACTAACCTTCTTTTCACTGGTAAATAGGCGATTGTCTCCATCCTTTTTCCACCACCAAGCTTTACTGTTATTATAATTTTTCTTCTTATATTTATAATCCTCTCACTATTTTTTTTCTGTTTTGTTTATTTTCTCAAAAGTGTAAACATCATTTAAGCTGTGTAACAATTGTTATTGTTTTGTTTTCCCCACTCGCTATGATGTTATGTGAAGAGAATGTTAGAGATTCAGTATTCGATAACAGGCTAAAATTTCCATACTGTATCGACGATATTGTTTGAAATAAACCCATTATTATTATTATTATAGTTATGATTCTCATTTTGTACTGTGCATATTTTTGACTTTATTCCTACTGTCAAAGGTGGCCAAATTCCTGTGGTTAATTTTATTTATTTATATTTTTTTAGTAAATTAGATGGAATATTGTGACAAATGCTGAAAATTCCATTCTGTATTATAAGTACTGTTTTTGGAGTCAAGCAGATCGTTATTATTATTATTATTATTATTATATCTATTAAAGCGAAGTATAGTGAGTACTTCAAAAATGAAATGGAGTGGTAAACTTGGGATTTCTACGCAAATGCTTTGTGCAAATAAGCGCTTCCTTATTATTCTAAAGATAATTTCTCTACGGTTCCCGAATGATGCCTGAACAACCACAAAAAAGTCATAAACATGACATCTTTGACAAATGGCGGTTAGTCAAGCGGTAAAGTGTCTTGACCAATTCACTTATTTGGGAAGTCACGTCAGCCCCAAAGGATTGATGGGAAACAAAGTCTCAAAACGGGTACAAAAGTTTTTTGTACCATTTGTCAGCTTATGTTATTTCTGGAGCAGATGTGATATTGATTAAAGGACGTGTGTACTGTTCAACAATTCACGCCATCCTCCTGCATGGTTGGCTGTGAGACCTGGTGACCATTGGAAGTGGAAGACATGAAAAGGCTGGCTAGCTGTCTTCCATTATACGTGTCTGCATTCTATCTCCCATGTCAATTCGTATGATGTTCTGAGTAATTTTGAGGTTAGATGTAGAGTTTTACGTAAGTAAGGACGGAAAGTCTATCGATGAAGTTGTGAAGTTATATCCATAGAGATGGTTAGGATTTGTGTTACGCATGCTCAACAGCCATCGCCTTCTTCGACGACAGGCAATGTTGGCTGACATAAGATGGATCAGGTTGAAAAAGAGGTAGAAGGTGGTAGTCAAACAAACATATGGAATCAGTCCACGAGATCTCTAACAGTTAGTTTAAAGCAAACATAGCATGGTAACAATCTTGTTGATTTCTATTGTCTTATTATTCACCGATTACGTAACTCTAACACATTTATTCAACTGCTCTTAAACACTGACTGATATTAAGGACTGTGTTTTTGTGATAACTCATGAATTTTGTCACTACCCTCTTTCATCAGAAAGTGGTATACAAATGCAATTGTACAGCTGCTAAAGTGAAAGAAAGAATTTGCCGAAAACCAAAAGATCCTCTTCGCTGATCTACTTGGCTGGTTTTCGTTAATGTCTGGATGCGGATTATTCGCCAATGGAAACTTGGAAATCGACAATTATTTTCATTACGATAACTTCTGTCCTGCTGGCTGTAAGGATACTACTCTAATAGAGAACCACGAAGGTGGAAGAAGAATAAGGGTTTGTTGAAAGGATCTCTAAGGAAGAGTGGATATATGTATCAAGGGATTCATATTGATTTCATAGTGTGAAATATTCCCATATTAAGAATTAAAAGTCAATCTGAATGAAGAATATTCTTTTCAATAATTTCTCCTATTCAGGTTCTTACAATTATAAAATATAATATTTGTTGTCGTTACGATAAAGGCCAGTTATGCGGCGGATACATTTTTTTAACGTAGAATAACAGATTAGTTATGGGATGTCAAAATAAATATTGTTATTATTATTATTCGCCATAATTTATATCCTTCATGCGAACATTCCCTCAATACTATCGAATTTTTATTATTAGTGATATTATCTCTTTTCTCAATATATATCTCTGCCTGTTTCATTTCACATATTCGTTATCTCACTATGAACCAACTCTCATTGCAGTCTTAATATCTCCTGTTTAACCCAGACCACTTTGTACTAGCCACTCACCTAACACCTTTTATAACCCACACTCTACAATTCTATTATGATTAGTCACCACCATTGTCTCCCGTTTTACAATATTTTGTAATCGATTTCAGCCAAGCGCGTTTGTTACACAAATGCGACTATTTATTTTGACACCCTGTGATAAGTTATCTGTTATTCTACGTTACAAAAATGTACCCGCCGCATAACTAGCCTTTATTGTAACGACAACAAATATTATCATTTTATAATTGTAAGAACCTGTACAAAGCACGATTATAAGACATATATTGGTTAAAGCGTATTTCATCGAGTTATTGAAATCCTTCAAAATATGACATATGTAGACGATGCCAGAAACCTAGTAAAACTCACTGAGGCCACCTACAATCAAATGTTCTCAAATTAAACACTTACGCAAGCAGTAAGACAGTGTGATCAATTTTTCAGTCTCTTCGTAACAGGCTTTTTGAATGATGGATAGAATGACTGACTGACTGACTACACTGATGCGCAGCAGTTCAAGTCGCCACACTCCACTCAACAGAAGAAGGTATAAAGGAAAATAGAGACAGTAAACAGAGATATAAGACAAAAAGAATAGTAATAACAAAGAACAATATAGTTTTGTTCGATATTATAAGTCACAAGGAGTAGATGCATCCGAACCAGCCACTGAGAACCATTTTCAGTCATATCACCGATAATTACCTCTAGCCTTCATTGGTGTTTACCGTCCCGAAGACCACAACCAGACAGGAAGTCTATATCTTCCTACTTGGCTGACTTTAACTAACTGTTGTGGATTCCATTGACCGATGAGACCACGTTTTGATTTGACCACCACTGACTCTTCCCCAACCTGATCCATCCTATGCCAGCTATCATTTCCCGTCGTCGAGGAAGGCGATGGCTAGAGGGATATATACGTACCATATGTCCTAACCATCTCAGTCGATCTAGCTTCCCAGTCGTGTCGATTGATTTCCCCTCCCACGTACCTAGCACTCGACGGATGCCTCACCTCAATATTGCTCACCCTAATATACAAATTTACATGGGAGATAGAATGCAGGCACCTATGATCAAAGACAGCTAGCCAGCCTTTTCATAACCTCTACTTTCAATGGCCAGGTCTCATCATGAATGAAATGGCGAATAGACCGCATAATCATATTCATCATATTAGAGTGATTTAAGTCTTATGACTTTTGACATTCTTGAGTTGTTACGTAACCTCGCATTTTCGAAGCCCTGACTTTCCTGTTATCAATCCAACATTGTAATTTCAGGTAGTGGTGGTAGTGGTCTGTACAGCTGATGGGAACCTGTGAAATGAAAATATTATTGTCATTCTATATTGAAAAATTAGGTCTTTCTTGTGCTTTATTCAAAATAAATAATGACTACTATAAACAAAACAAAAAGTAAGCATTGGGAAGCGGGGGAGGGGGTTAACTATTCTCACAACATACTGCGTTCCACAGAGAAATTCCCAACGAAAAGCATTTGTGAAGAGATACGGACAAGAAATTGAATTCCAGAAGTTTGCCTGACTTGGTAATGAATTGGTTGATGCATAATATTTTCAGAAAGTAGTAGTGTTGAATTCACATCATCATCATCATCATCTCTGGTTATCAGAGATGTTGAAGCCGGTGACGATGTGAAGGATGACGACGTATTCAACAGATTTATATTTTTTTCCATAGAACTATTGCTATTATTATGCATTGCTTCTGTTTCTTCATTGATAAAATTCCAAGTGAGACGTATTCTGCGTAAATAACCCGATAAACTCCAATCAGTGGTTCGACCAGCGAATTCACTAGAACAATTGACACGTAAAATATCATCAGGCTATTTTACATAAAGAAATAAAGAAAGACGAGGGGGAGGGAGATTAAACATTCTCATGTATATTTAACAAAGCAAAAGAGAAAGGTGATATTCAGTGGCTCATTTTCAAGCCAACTAATCACGCTCACATATGTACATACAAATATATATATACCACTTTTAGACGTGTGCATTGAGCAGCATGCCTGTGAGATATGACCATTGGAAGTGGAATATTATAAAAAAGAAGCTAGCTGTTTCTAACAACAGATGCTTGCCTTCTATCTCCTAAACTGGTGGGACGAGGGGCAGTATAATATGGTGATTAATACTGAGTTGGTTAGGCGTACAATCCTGTGTAAGAAAAGTGTGTGTTGGTGGCTTAGTGGTCTGGGGTTCGAACCCCTACCAACACATACTTTCACCTTGTTTAGCCAGGTAATAAGCCTGGTGAAAATAGAAGGTTGGGAGTGAGTCTAGCAACCCCACATGTTTCCCCGAGAACGAAAATGAATTTCTTTTTAAAAAAAAGCTATGTAAGGAAGTGAATCGACTGAGATAAGTAGGACACGTGTTGTGTATCCCCAGGGCGTCGCTTTCCTCCCCGAGTAATGTTAACTGACGCAAATGATGTAACAGAGTTATTAGGAATTGTCAAACAAAAATCTGTAATGAGTTCATGAATTTTTTGACAGTTGACTTCAGCCAATCACCTAGAGACATGTTGACTACCTGCTTATGGGTCCTCGGAGGAGATGCTACGAACTAATGATGGCTGGAGACGATTGATGTGATATGGCTTTATATCACTCACTCTAAATGATTTCTTATATCTGTTAAACTGTCATCCTTTTTCCCATATGTCAATATTCCTTGTTCGTCATATTTCCGGTCATTATATTTCTTATGAATTTCTTTTTTGTGTACCTTTGTGTGCTGCGTGAAGTTTATTTTTGATTGGACAATAGTCAAACAACTACTGTAATGTGTCTAGTCCTTTGTGCTGGTGTAGACTGAATTCTATCAGTCAGTCAAGTTTGCAAAATATATATGGCCACCATGCAACTAGGCGACTCGCCATCACACTGCACTGTGAATTGTTGATATTAGATAGTTGGAGGCAATCGGGCATAAAAAGCCTTCCCTGACCTAGGTTTCATGCTACTTGGCACTGATCAATCTGTCAACAAGGAGTATCTACAACCTTGAAGGAATTCATGTCCCTGCCTTCTGAGATTCCAATCCACGCCACCCAATGACTACAACAATTCACAGTACACCACGATGGTAAGTCACCTAAAATGCTAGTCACATTGTAAACTTAACTGACAGGATTCAGTCTGCACCAAAGATAGAAAAAGACATATATACAATAAACTAGAAGAGGCACTCTTAGTGAGAAGAAGAATTATTAATGCTAGTTTTGCCACGGTAGGAACAGAGTCTGGACTTGTTCCTTTTGGACACAAAGTTCCAGTGTGCGTCGGTGGCACAGTGGTTAAGACTCTCGCCGATCATGCACATGGTCCGAGGTCGGCCTGTGAAATTTGGGCTACTGATATTCATGCTGAAAATTCCGTACTTGTACCAAAAGCAGGGACATGAGTTCTTTCGAGGTCACAGATACGCCCAGTTGATGAGTGCCAACTAGCACAAAACCTAGGTCAGGCAACGCTTCCTTCAGATATCCTCCAACTATCTAATATACATAAAGTTTGCAAACTTGAACTACTGAACTTCTCTGCAACATTCTAAGCCGCTAAATTTTATTTATGATCCATGTAGGTAGCCAGAAATCAGATGGTTTGAGCCTGACTCGGCATTCTGTTCTCAGTCAAACTGAGGACGACGAAATGTGCATCCTGAATTCCAGTGCTAGTCCCTATCCACCAGTTAACCTCTAATTACATGCCTAGACATGTTCGAAGCATCTGCACAAGAAGCCAATATGTCAACCTAAGACCGAGCAATTCGGTCCAATCAATCGACGGGGAAATCTTAAATTGAAGTGAAAAAAATAGTATTCATTATAATAAAGTTTTTTGTTATTTTGTATTTCCTAATGAATGAATAAAAAAGAGCAAAACGATATTGTTGTTTTTACTAACGTTTCGCTATTTAATGCTGCTGCTAATAGCTTTGTCAGAGTAGTCGCATTAAACCAGAATTTACAAAATCTCAGTTTACACATAACAACTTAATCATCGTTCCTCGGTATGGGGTTATTTTTCCATTGTCAAATTGGTCAATTGGTAAAGATAATAAAACCACTTTTAGATTGTTGGCTTTGATAAGTGTATAAAATTTAAAAAGCAGTGTGTGTGTGTGTGTGTGTTTACATAATGAAATTGCTTATAACCCATTCGTGTTGATTTTGTCATTTCATGAGGTGTGTGGGTGTGGGTGTGTGTGTTGTAACCAGGTCAAATTTCGTTTTTAGTCCATCATCATCATCATTCCTATTCATCAAACAATTTGAATTCCATTTGATCCATTTGATCTGATATTCGATGTTCTTATAAGCTGAGATTTTGTAAATTCTGGTTTAATATTACTACTTTGATAAAGCTATTAGCAGAGTTCAATAGCATACAAATGTCAGTACAAACAACAATATCGTTTCGTTTTTTCATTCATTCATTGAGAGATACAAAATAAAAACCTTTATTATAATTAATAGCACGAATGTTCAATACAAACAACGCCAAGTCAGTCAGTTCTTCTATAAGGATCAGAAACTTGGCGGGTGGATCACAAAGAATATTTCCAACAGCCTATTGTCTTCGCTGGCTCTATACTGAAGATCAGATGGCCAGGCTGGAAAGAATCACCAACAACAAGAAACTATGGGAAGGAACAAACAAAACAAGAACCAATCGCCAACCAACAAATATGCAGGAGAAAGTGGAGATGGATCGGACACTCGCTGAGGAAGCTGCTGGGCGACATCGTGAGTCAGGCCATTGCTCGAGTGGAACCCGAAAGGGAGGCGGTGAATGGGACATCCAAGGGTGACATGGCAGAGATCGTATGAAGAGGAGTTGAAAGAGTACGGACTAACATGGATGCAGGTGAAAAGTACAGCAGAAGCATGACAGAAGGCAAGTGGAGACGTGCAGTTGAAGCTCTATGTTCCACTAGGAACCTAAAGGAACAATAATAGTCATAATAATAATGAATAGCATTTATCGAATGCCTAAATTTTCTCAAACTGTTAAAAGAAGAATATTATCCTCAATAATTTCTCCGCTTCAGGTTCTTGCAATTAGAAAAAAGATAATATTTGTTATCGTTACAATAGTGGATAAATTTTTTTTAACGTAGAATAACAGATTAGCAGTTATGGAGTGACAAAATAAATAATCGTTATTTGTGTGACAAACGTGCTCTGGGCTGAAATCAACTCCAAAATATTTCGGTAAAATGCGAGACAATGATGATGGTGATTAGTGATATTAGACTCGTAGAATGCAGGGTAGGAAAAATTGACAAATCAGTTTCTAAACTTGTATACAATTGGTGGATGGTGGCTAGCAGTGGAATCCAGGATGCGCATTTCGTCCTAATTGGGACTCGTCAGCTGGATGTACCTGCATTTCTCAGTGAGTGATGATGTTCCCACCGAGGCTCGAACCCAGTGCGCTTTGGCGTTTGAAACTATGGGCACTGGGTTCGAGCCTCGGTGGGAACATCATCACTCACTGAGAAATGCAGGTACATCCAGCTGACGAGTCCCAATTAGGACGAAATGCGCATCCTGGATTCCACTGCTAGCCACCATCCACCAATTGTATACAAATCAAATCCCCAGACATCGTCGAAGCATCTGCACAAGAAGCCGACATGTCAACCTGAGACCGAACACTTCGGTCCAATCAATCGACGGGAAAATCAAGAATTCAATTCAATAATCAGTTTCTAAACTGTCTAGTTAAAAGAAGGGAAAACGGACATTTCAGTGTATCTGCATTCAGGAAGAAAACCCACTACAGCAACCAATATTTAGACTTCAAATCATCACTAACCCATCAGCGCAAAGATTTCCATTGTTTCAAGTCTTCTTAGACGGGCAAACTCTCTGATGTTAACAGATGAGAAAGAAAAAGAAGAAGAAATATCAAACATTACTGAAATTCTCAAGCGAAACAACTACCCAAAGAACTTTATCAAGCAAATCAACACTGACATTAAGTATGGCCGAAAACGCATTCGGAAAATATGGACCTCAACAGTTGTCATTCCATATAGATCAGAGACATCAGACAATATCAGAAGAGTACTCAATAAGCAAGACATCAGAGTTCACTTCAAAACTTCAGAAACACTGCGAAACAACCTTGTCCATATAAAAGACCAAATCCCGAAAGAATCCTTATCTAATTGTGTCTATAAACTAAAGTCCTTGGAATGTGATACGATATACATCGGAAAAACATCGCCAGAAAGAAATCAAAATCAGAAGAAAGGAACACCGTAGAGCAGAGCATCTGTTCGCGATCACCGAGAAATCCAGTCAAACTAGAAAAGCTTGAAAAATCATCAGCCATAGCTTGTCTACACACTATAGAATCGAGCCACAAGGGATGAGAATGCACGAGTGGCCTTGAGCTGACCAATCAGAAAAATGAGGGATTTTTGCACACACAAAAAATTACGTATATTTAAATAAAAAAGCATGAAAAAACATTAAACCGGATATTTTTCTCTAATATGAGATGAAAATATGCCCCTATTATAATGGCGGGAGTGTCAGTTTTTCAACTAAACCAATTTCTATTTTACATGTATTCATCCAGGTGACTAAAAATAACTTGGTTTTGAGAGCCATTTTTATTGCTCTTATTCTATTTTTTAATCTTCCCCAGAAACCCTCTATTGAATCAGTAGTATGAGTACCGGTTCTGGGTGGGATCGACGAAATCATCAGAATAGTTAACTCGATGGTGTATATATCCTAAATCCGATAATCGATTATATACTGCCCATTCATCCGTTTGTGTGTGTGTGTGTATAGTAGTGCTAGGCAAAATGAGTCTCTGAATAATAGGCGGAAGAGTGTCAGCGCTCCTGTCTGGAATAAGTTCAATGAATCCTTTCCGAATTTCGTCGGTGTCCCAAGTTCCAAATGTTATTAGCTCTAGCACGTCCGCGATTGCATTTCTTCTTTATAAGAACTGTTTTACCGTCTTTATGAACAATAACATCGACTCCTCCCAACACTTTTGTAATATTGTTCATTTTCCATTAGGCTAAATCTCGATAAAATTGAAAGCACTGCATAGTAGACGTCAATGTATTTTCTGTCTATATATATATATATATATATATATATATATATATATATATATATATATATATATATCCATCATTGACCTGCGAATACGGTTGCACGGTTCGTTGAAGCACCACAGCTACATATGCGAGTACATCTTATCAATCCATTATCTAAACAGTATTGACATACGTGTTCTGGGTGAAATTTCTACCTGAACAGATGAATAGTGTTCATTTTCGCTTTAGAATAATCGCAAGTTTTCAAGTGTTGGTTTGTAGGGATTTGATTGCTTTCAGGATTTCGTCATAAGCTGACATTAGTTAGAGAACCATTGGGAAACCTGGAAGTACTCGACAGCTGTTTCATCCTAGTTTGGGACTCTTCATCAGTACGCACCCATCGAGATTCGAACCCAGGACCTTCAGGTTACAAGGCGAGCTCGTATACCATTAAGCCACTGGGACCCGCCTTGTAATCGGAAGGTCGTGGGTTCAAATCCCGGTGGGTGCATACTGCTGAAGAGTCCCAAACTAGGACGAAACAGCTGTTCAGTACTCCCAAGTTTTCCAATGGTTCTCTAACTAATATCAGCTCATGATGAAATCCTGTTAACCAATCAGCCAAATCCCTACAAACCAAAACTTGAATACCAATGAGATGCTCACTGGCGACTGGCCCTACTCAGGTAGGTAGTTACCTGGGTTCCAGTGGGAAGTCGTGACCAGTAGGGTGCAACGGGTCGATTGTGAGGACAAATACTCGCCGAAGACATTGGCTAGCGGTCGCGCTATGTCGTGAATTGGCAGAAGTTAGAATTCAAGGACCATTGGATCGCGTCCCAGTGGCTTAATGGTATACGAGCACGCCTTGTAACCAGAAGGTCCTGGGTTCGAATCCCAGTGGGTGTGTACAGATGGAGAGTCCCAAACTAGGACGAAACAGCTGTCCAGTACTCCCAAGTTTTCCAAATCGCAAGTTTCTTCAACCAACGACTAGCACACGTTGAAGATCATTTGGGCATTTACACTCCAGGGACGCTATTGTACTACCATAATGCTGAGAATTCTACACAGTCTGAAAGAAAGCCGTTATCCAAATACACTTGTATGTGTATAGTGCATTCACTGCCTAGGCACATCAGACAACAGAAATGATTAAAATACATGTGTGTCCAGAACAATCGAAAAACCAAATAATCATCTCAAGTAAAATTTGTCAAAAACGCAAGCGACATTAAGTAAAAGTAAGTTGCATGATATAATGTAATTAAAATCAGTTGGGTAATAATGTATACTTCAGACAGTAAAAGTATAGGCAAAGACAGAGAGAGAGAGAGACTTAAAATTGTAAGGGAAAAATTGTTGCAGAGTTAAGGGAATAATAATTTTCAAAAATGAAATTATAGTTGCCTTCTCACTAGAACTTCACTAGCAAAGTCGCTAGTGACTTGCTATAGAATGGCGTTTCATGAAGTTCTAGCGAGAAGTTGTGACTACCAGTGTGAGGTTCACCCAGATGTCACGTGTGAGGATGGATGTCCCACCGACGACATTGGTTGGCGTCGCATTAAATCACAAATTGATAGAAGTTAGAATTCATGGGTTAGCCATTGAATTGGGTATACGAGCTTGCCTTGTAACCAGAAGGTTCTCGGTTCGAACTCCAGTTGGTGGGTACTGGTGATGATTCCCAAACTACGATGAAACAGCTGTCCAGTACTCCATGTGGCTGGTTTTCAATGGTTTCCTAACTGATATCAATCCGCGTCAGTGGCACAGTGGTAAGATGTTCACCGACCACGCCTCATGTGGTCCGAGGTTCGATCCCTGGCCACTGACTCCCTCCTTTACACCTTGCTAAGCCAGTAATAAGACTGGTAAAGAGGGAAGGTTGGACATGAGGCTGGCTAGCAATCCCATCTCTCTCGTAAAAAGTAAACACCACTGCTACCGAAACTTTAAGCCTCTAGCTTGAAGGCCCCCTGTATGTTCCACTGGGAACGTAAAGGAATTAAAAAAATATACCCATTGCATCTGTCTAATGACTAAACCATTTATTATTTATTAAAACACCCACTGGGATACATTATAGGCACCAACAGGCCAGAATACTCATCGTACGCCAAGAATGAGGCAGTTGGTTGTTTTAAGAGGTCACCACCAGTCCCCAAGCCTATGAATTAAAGTTCGACCTACGAGGCAGTAGTGGTGCAGCACATCAGGAGCTACTTTCCTATGCTTGACAATGACCAAAACAGATTCATACGCGATTCGATCCATATGGATTCTGGAACTCATGTACGTCAGCATAAGTTTGGCAGCAGAATTTCCTATCAGCTGCCCTAAGTTAACTTGCATGATTATCACTCCGGTTGTAGGGAGAAGTCATCATTCCTTCAATCCATCACTAGTGCAATAATAACTTGTCTTAAAACTATACACCTTCCACAAATCACCTGGTACCGTCAAGGATGGGTAGACTTCAGCCATTATTCTCGCGTGGTCGTCACGCGTTCATAACCTCTACCAGTCAGATAAGTCCTATCCACTGTCTACACTCGGCAGAGGTGTTCCTCGCATAAGTGAAAGGGAGAATTCGAAGGTCTGATGCATATAACCACACCAGTGGACGTGCAGGTCTACCTAAATGCTTAATTCCAAATATGGGCTTTACAATCCAAAAGAATTGAATGGCGTATGAACCTGTTTTTGTCACCAGAAACCATAGGAACATAGCTCCTGACGCTGTTCCACTGCTCTGTAGATCAGACATCATAGTCAAAAACTTGAAGGGAAATGGCCCCTCAACACAACCGGCTAGTTCGGTTCGAGACCGGTTGGAGGATTTCATCATGAGTTGACATCAGTTAGACAACCGTTGGAAAACCGGCTACAGGGAGTACTGGACAACCGGCTATTTGGTCATAGTTTGAGACTATTAGTCAGTATGCACCCATCCCAGGAGAGTCGAACCTAGGACCTTCAGGCTACAAGCCTAGCGAGCTCGTAGACCATTAAGCCACTGACACCTGACCCAATAGCCTATGAATACCAACTTCTTCCAGTTCATGACGTAACACGACCGCTTAGCAATGTCTGCTTTGATGAGTTATTGCCTCACCTTCAACTTGCTGCACCCTACTGGTCACGGCTTCCCGCTAGAACCAGGCCAGGTTAACTGCCTGAACAGAGCCAGTCGCTAGTGAGCATCAGATTACTTTCCGAGCATTGGTGTTGTAGGGAATTTTGTTTGATTCGTTGGAGGATTTCATCATGAGCTGACATCAGTTAGAGAACGTCTGGAAAACCTAGGAGTACTAGACGGCTGTTTCGTCCCAGTTTGGGACTTCTCAGCAGTGCGCACCTACCGTTAAAGAATAAGCGCGCACACACACACACAAACACACGAAAATGTTGTTAAACATATCCCTATGAGTTGGCTAGTAACTTACTGCTTCACCGAAACCAGCGGAACCACCAGTCACATCTTCTTCATGATCTTTTGATATATCAGGTCGCCAGTGTTTTGTACTCCATTCTAAAGAATCAATCCATTGATCTAATTGGAGATAGAAGGAATCACTAGAGTCAGTATTTGTTGGACAAGTCAATCGAACACTGGCTCTCAGTAACCAAAAGAGTGCCTGTTGCGGGGAGAAACGAACAAAAAGAAGAAGAAAAGAAAATTCTATATTGGAGTAATTATTCCTTTGTAAGATGATACTACCAACCATTATCTTTTATTTTATTGGCTTTTCATCATCTGCATACAGCCTAAAAATATTTATTATTAAGTTTATGTACAGAAGACGACAATGCTGCATACCAAGTAATCAACACAACGTGAAACTTACAGAATCCCTCGAAGTGAAGATGGGAGTAGAGAGACAAGGCTGGCTGGCTGCCTACCATCTCTAATGGTTTTCCTGATTGCGGGCGGTAGACTAAATAATGCGACAGAAAGCGGGCAGCGAGGAGACAGGCATTAAATGAACCCATACAAAACACTTGGAGGATCTGGACTTCGCCGATGATAATATGTCTGATTTCACACAAACTGGAAGATATGCAAGTGAAAAGCCACTAGTCGGCAGAAGAAGCATTCATAGAAGATAGGACTTCAGGTGAACAGAAAGAAAACAAAGGTGATGAAGATTCCTGGCCAACACAAACAGTGACACCAACAACAACAACATACAACAATCAGTATAAATAGGAGAAATCTGAAAGAATCAACCTGCTTTACCTACCGACCTGGGAAGCATCCTCTCAACTACAGGCCGATGGAACTGATGGGGATATCAAAGCGAGGATCGGGAAAGGAAGGAAAGCTTCTGTGTGGCGGTCAACAGCACTACTCAGGATGAAAAATAAGATCCCGATTTTCAACTCCAATGTGAAGTCAGTGCTACTATATACAGACCAGAGACTTGGAGCGTCACGAAGGGCGCTTCGAACAAACTAAGCTGTTTTCGCTCAATACTACTCAAGATCAGATAACCGGCCAGAAAATATAGCCAACATGGATATCTGGCAATGTACGGACCAACTCGGCAGGAACCAATTTTAGCAAGAAATATGCAGGAAGAAATGGAGGTGGATTCTCCACAGTCTGAGAAAACAAACCATTAAGTGAGTGGCACACATCACACGTCAGGCCAGCACGGCGCGCCAGTTGGTCGTTGATGCGAGAGTGACATGGAGGAGGTTATGTGAGGAGGAGATGAAAGCATGTGGGCAAACATGGAGGTAGGTGAAAACGTTGGCGAGGAACCGAGTGCAATGTTACGTGCGTCTGAAGCCTTATGTTCCTCTAGGAATTAAAGGAAACAATAATAATAATTATGTACAGAAAAAGAAAGATTTTGAAAAAAACAACGGCTTCCTCCAAAGATTCATCAATAACAAGTACGGGGAAGACGTGAAGATTTAAATGTCAAAACAAATTACACTGGGTAAATAAAATGCCTATCTTCATTCAACTCGATTTTAAAGGTGATAATAGTAAAGGAATAGTCAACAAAAGATTGATTGAATATGTCAACTAATCAGAGGCTATCACATCCTGCAGGTAATTTGGTTCCCGTTTATCGGATAATATAGCTCCATGGTGCATGGTGCAATCTCATCGGTCGACAGATACCCTTCACATATTAACTCTAATTGTGTATCCGAATTTGTATGTATTACTGGTAGCACTTACACATTGAGAGAACAAAAAAAGCGGAGGGGGGGGGGCACATACACCTTTTAATTTTTGAGCATCAAAACAAAACGTCTACGTCTCAAGGGAACAAATTCCCTCATCAAAGCTATCTCCTTGACATGTATTTAAAACAAGCAACAAAGGGGTTAATAAAGCAGGATTTAATGGATTCATCAAATTTCAGTAGAACTTGCGTCGGTGGCACAGTGGTTAGGACTCTCGCCGACTATGTAAACGGTCTGACGTTCGATCCGCTGCCGACGCACACCTGATATCTATGGTCGGCCTGCAAAATTTGGGCTACCGATATCCAAGCTGAAAAATTCCATACTTGTACCGCAAAATACAGTGTGAAATCAAGCTGTAATCAAAAAATAAATAAAAAAAATAAATAAACTCGTCAGCTGAATACTCTACATACACGGATATATTTACTTTTGAAACTACATTGGGAGATATAAGACTGATAAACGAGCAAATAAACTACATTGAATTGATCATGCAGAAAGACACGTGCGAATGTTTTCCAGGTCATGTTCAAATAGATAAGCGGAGAGGGAATATGAGAGATCAAAATTAAGATAAAATGCATTACGCTTCAATTACATCACTTAGATAAACAATTAGTCATTAGGGAATATAACGAGAATTGTAAACAGACTAATATCTAGAGTAATAGTTATAATAACAATTTTAATAGTGTTGAAGTGAGTTAAGATAATCTTACGGATAAAGCATAGTTTTAAATAAATCAAGAATAATAATAATAATAAGAAGAAGAAGAAGAGGTAGAATAATAGTAATGACAAGTAGAGAATAATAAGTAAAACGTATTACCATGGTAGATTTAGAGTCACGACCATCTCCTTTTGTATACGGAGAGCTGATTTATAAATTCGAATTGCACAAGCCTCTGCAATTGCAAGCATCTTCTTGTTTCTTTGTTTACTGACAATGGTGAATGACTTGACCGCGTCGATATCATGTCCGTAATCCACAAGATGTTTTGTTGTTATTGAGGATTTTGGCACTTTGCACTCAGCTGTTTTCAACACCATTTTGGCAAATGCTCCATCATGCTTTATTAACCTTTATTGCTTGTTTTAAATTCGTATAAGGAAATAGATGTTTTCAATCCTTGACATGTGTTACGCGAGATGGATGTCTTAAGGTCATTCAAAATTATATCAATAGACCAAAGAATTCTCTACAAGTTTGCCAAAGTAATCTCTATCAAACGCCTAAACCTTGATTTATGTATTCAGAAAGTAGAAGCAGTTATCAGTGTTTCCTTGCCCATCTTGGTAACTAGATGTTTTCATGCTCTCTTTAATTGGTTTACGTAACGCTAAAAATTCCATTCTGTATGACTTCTACTGTTTGGAATAAAGTGGTTATTATTATTATTATGCAAAAAGTGGATATTTTGTTTAAACTTGACAAAAGCGATTATATTGAGAAAATGGAAGGTATTTTGAGTGATCAAATTAAATTCCAATCTCTTGGTGTTTCCAAAGACCTCAATCTAAGAGTGGAGAAACTAATGACTGACTCCCTGAAAAAACTGAACCAAATAGGAGTATTATCATCAACCATGTATGAGTCCATGAAACCAACGGGTAGCAATACTCCACGACTTTACGGTATACCAAAAGTGCACAAACCGGGTCTTCCTCTTCACCCTGTTTTAGATATATTTATAACTTTCCATTTCACGGAACAGTGAAGTGGTTAGTGAAGATTCTGGGTCTTTGGCACAGAGAAATCGTGCAACATCGAATTAGTGATGTCTTTGACTTTATTTCTAAAATATCCGAGACTAATGTGAAGTATAAACGCACGTTATCCATGGATGTATCATCACTATTCACTAATGTACCACTTATGGAAACAGTAGATTATATTTGTCAACAAATCACCGACAGGAAATTAGACTTAGGAATCCCCTTGTGTAGCCTCAAAGAATTACTTCTTAAATGCACAATGAATGTTCACTTTGTCTTCAATAATTCCTACTATCGACAAGTAGATGGAATAGCTATGGGTTCACCATTAGGCCCAATATTAGCTGACTTCTTTCTCGCAAATCTTGAAAACGGGAAATTGAAGGACATCATCAATGAGTTTGATATGTATTACCGATATGTCGATGATACATTTACCTTAGCTGATGGGAATGTTAACATTGACGAATTGTTGCTGAAGTTCAACAACATCCACCCTTCGCTTACCTTTACTTGTGAAGAGGAGCAGGAGAATAAACTACATTTTCTGGGTGTATTGCTAAGTAGGAGAGAAGATCGGTCACTTGGGAGAAGTGTGTACAGAAAAAGCATATTCACAGGGCGATACACACACTTCCTTAGTTACGTGCCCATTAAATATAAAAAAGATGTTGTAAAATGTCTCGCGAGCAGAGCAAGGAAGATATGTACGGACGCGTCTAAGTGTGTTGTTCTAAACTTGAACTGTCTGGCTACGTATGTTAAAATTGTTTCGGTACACAAAAACTTAACAATAAATATCTTTAGGCTGTAAGCAGATGATGAGAAGCCAATGAAATAAACGATGATGGTAATATTTTATTCTGTTGTTATTGCTGCTTTATTCAAATTTTAAAAATTAAAAAAAAGAACATTTTGCTTGTTAGACTTTAAGGTATTTACCATATTATTTTGGACAATGGTAATTACCAGTGAAATCCACAAAGCACACTTTGGTCTTGTTTAGGACCAAGTGACAGTTGGATGTACCTGCAATGCTTTGTGAATGATGGAAGTCAAACGCAGTATATATCGTTTGAATACGAAATAACTTAACCATAAGTATTTATATTAAAGAATAGTATGATAGTATGCTATAAGGTTAGTAATGCTGAGGAAAAAATCAAACAACGAGATCGTGAAGTTACATCGATTGAAAGAGATGGTTAGGACATGTGTTACGTATATATCCCCAGCCATCGCTTTCCTCGACGACGGGAAATGTTAGCTGACATAGTGATCAGTCAGTCAGGTTGGAAAACAGGCAGTGGTGGTCAAATTAAAACATGGCTCCATCAGTCAATGAAATTCACAACAGTTAGTTTAAGCCAGCCAAGTAGGAAGGTGTAGACTTCCTAACTGGTTGTGGTCTTCGGGACGGTAAACACCAATGAAGCCTGGAGATAATTATCAGTGATATGGCTCAAAATCGTTCTCAATGGCTCGTGTAGATGCATCCACTCCTTCTGACTTATAATATCCAATGAAACTATATTTTTCTTCGTCATTACTATTCTTTTTGCCTTATATCTCTGTTTACTGTCTCTATTTTGCATTTCTTTTTACTTTCTTCTTCTCTTGCTTTGTGTGCTCCATTAGGAGAGAGAGAGAGTGTGTGGCGACTCGAACTGCCGAGCATCGGTGCAAATTTCTATGTCGAGACCAGTCAGTCAGTCAGTAAGCCTCCAGTCAATTCATAAAGATTTCACTCTATACTTCAGAAAAATACCAATTGGTTAAGACGTATTTAGCCTATTTCACTTCATAATACTCGGGAGAAAAAGAACCCGTATATAAACATGGACATAAGAATATACAGTTCAGCGAAGAGGCTCTTCCTGACGACTATATATATATATATATATATTCATTTAGCCTTGAATGTATGCATATACATAGCCAAAAGCAATAAAAAGACAAATTAGTAAGGATTATTGTTTACCCCATCATCATCAAAATATTTCAGAATAATGAAAGTTCATCTCGATGTAACTAAGTGAGACAAGATGCATTTTATGAGTTTAGACTAGACGTGTTGAGTTCAACAGCGACAGGGGGAACATTCAAGTAACACACTGGGTGTTAATGGAAACACCATAGAGACAGATAAGTATGGAAAATAAAAAGTTATCATGTAACAAGTGCTAATAGTTATAAAAAAAAGGCCAACATCAAGAATACAATAGGAGAGAAAATGAGAACACTGATAGTAATTAAATAACAACTGCAGTGTAACAAAGAAGTGAGATGATCCCACGCCCTGATAAGAGTAAAGATATAGTCTGAATGCATTAGTAAACTCTACCTACACAGACAATAGGGTGTGGTAATACTTTCAGACAACAACAAAAGCAAGTTGTCTCTATCTAACATACAGGAAGATAAAACTAAGATATAATTGAGAAGCAACTCAAAACAAAAAAGTCTTGAAAAGGATGCATTCATTCCTTGTGGTCTCCTATATCCAATAAACCATCATGTTTCAGGATGTCATCATAAGCTGACACTGATTACACAGAACTATTGGAAAGCAAACTAGGTAGCACTGGACAGCTAGCTAGCTGTTTCGTCTTCCTAATTTGGGACACTTAATCAGTGCACTCCCACCACCACCGACAGGTTTTGAACTCAAGACCTTCGCTGGTTATAAGGTCAGCGAATTCGTACACCATTAAGTCATTGTAACCCAATCAGATCCAATGACTGATTGATTTCAACAGAGAACTTTGAACCGATGTGCAACAGTTCAAGTCGCCACACTCCCTCCATGTAGCACACAAAGCAAGAGAAGAAGAAAGTAAAAAGAAATGCAAAATAGAGACAGTAAACAGAGATATGAGGCAAAAAGAATAGTGATAACGAAGAACAACATACTTTTATTAGGTGGAATAAATCAAAAGAAGTGGATGCATCTGCGTCACTGAGAACGACCTTGAGCCATATCACCGATAATTATCTCCAGGCTTCATTGGTGTTTACCGTCCCGAAGACCACAACCAGTTAGGAAGTCTACACCTGCTTAAACTAACTTTTGTGAATTTCATTGACTGATGGAGCCATGTTTTAATTTGACCACCATTGGCTCTTTTCTAATCTGACAAACCCTATGTCAGCTAACATTTCCCGTCGTCGAGGAAGCCGGTGACTAGGCATACCTAAAAGATGTCCTAACCATCTCAGTCGATGTAACTTCACAGCCTCATCGATTGAATTCCCTTCTTACCTAACACTCGACTCCTAACCAACTCAATATTGCTCACTTTATTATACCACTTCACACGGGAGATAGAACGCAGGCACCTATTTTTTTTATTACAGCTTGATTCCACACTGTACTTTTGGTACAAGTATGGAATTTTCAGCATGGATATCGGTAGCCCGAATTTTGCAGGCCAACCATAGATATTAGGTGTGCGTCGACACGGGATCAAAGACAGCTAGTCTTTTCATGTCCTCTACTCTCATTGGCCAGGTCTCACAGCCATAAAGGAAGACGGAGTGGACTGCTGAGCAGTACACACACCCTTTGGTCGATAGCCAACCGGATATCATATCATGCGGTCAACACGCTTCCCCAACAACTTCACTTCCTATTTCTAAACTAGGAGTCAGTGTAGTTCAGTCCTGTACCATCATCTTACATTTGGCGGGAGCATATCGCATGCCAAACATTTGAAGATTGCTGCTCCTCAAGGTGTTCAGAAAATTTTGCATTTTGTCAGCGTCTTTGCCTAGAAGGACTATATAGTCTGCATATTCTAAGTCAACGAGGTTATTCCCTTCTTGGTAAAAAGTCAATCCCTGAGGCGCTGAAGTGAGTGAGGGTTAACTCCATTAGTACATTTATAATAAAAGTGAATGGAAATAGGGATCCAATGGTCAGTCAGTGAACCCCAACTTCTGCCAATTCACGATATAGCGTGACTGGCACTAGCCAATGTCATCACTGATGAGCATTTGTCTTTCCACCCGACCCAACACTTGAATATCAATCTTAAAAAACAACACCGACTAATCCTATTCAGGTAGGCAGTTCCAATGGGAAGTTGTCACCAGTAGAGTACACCAAGTCGGGTATAAGGACAAATACTCGCCACCTATGACATTGGCTGGTGCCAGTCACTCTATGTCGTGAATTAGCAGAAGTTGGAATTCATGGACTAGCCATTGGATCGAGTTGGGTTCTAGTGGCTGATGAATGGTCTACAACCTCGGTAGCCTTGTAACTGGAAGGCCCTGGGTCCAAAGTCTGTCGGTGGTGGATGAGCACTGTCGATGAATCCCAAATTAGGCTGACGAAACAGCTGACTGTCCAGTATTCCCTGGTGGTTTTCCACTGGTTCTCTAACCAATGTCAGCTAATGATGAAATTCTGTAACCGATCAAATCCCTGCGAACCAACAATTGAAAAAACCCTCATGCCTTTCCATGTTACTATTCTTTCTCTCCTACATATTTGTTGAGCAGCTCTTGGTTGGTTGGTACCCAGCCAGAGTTTCTTCTTGAGAATTCTTTCTGGCCATTTGATCTTCAGTATGGAGGCAGCGAATGTGGCAGTTGTTGACAAAAGTTTGCAACCTATTAGAAATCCTTTTCGTCACACGCAGTATAAGTTTTTCTCCAGCATAGCAGAAGAAGCGACTTGACATTGATGTTGTAAATGCGAATCTTGTTCTTTATGTTGAGTGTAGATTTCAAAATTGGTTTCAGGTTGATGAAGGTGTATCCTACCTTTCCTTTTCTGACCTGCTTTGATATCTTCATCCGTCCCGCCGGCCTGTAGTTGAACGAACCCGTGTTTCCTAGCCAGATAAATGAAGGAAGTGAATGACCTCTGTCAAATCCCCCCCCAACTTGATGGTGACTGGTGCTGCTTGTTGTTGTTGTTGTTGGTTTGTCGGTTATCTTCATCACCTCCATCTTCTCCATGTTCACCTGGAGTTCTGTCTTCGCTGCCTGCCTGTCTCTTCTGCCAGTTTGTTGATTGTCGCCTGAAAGTCTTCGAGTTTATGTGACATTAAAAGCATAAATCACCTACACGAGAAATCCAGATCTTCTAGAGTTTTCTTACCGGTGGTCTCCTTGCCCTTCCCCACAGTCTCACGCATATAATCCAGTCCACCAGAATTAAGAATGTCGTCGGTGATAAAAGGTAGCCTTGTCTTCCGTATTGTGCAGCGTCTAATCTAAACGTATTCAATCTTCACTATCTAAGTTGCATTCTGACCAAGGATTGATTGAGAACCATTGAAAGCCAGCTAGGAGCAGCACTGGACAGCTGTTTCAACCTAGTTTGCAACTCCCCAGCAATATGCACCCATTACCAACAGGGTTAAAAGCCAGGACCCTTAGGGTGCAACACAAGCTGATAGACCATTCATTAACCACTGGGATCTTATTTAATGGCCCAATGAATTCTACCCATCGACTTTTATTTTTATCGTTTCTTTTTAATCTTTTACAAAACTGAATGTACGCATGTATAAAAATAATAATTATTGATTTTATTATTGCCTTTGTACAAGCAAATGAATGAAACTGTCTATACGGATCTCTTTGCTGAACTGTCTGTGGTTACTTTCAATTATTACTAAATATTATGATAAAAAAACACTACACTACACCACACCACACCACACCATTTCACCTTCGTTGTGTCAAATTTAACATGTAAACATTCAGAAGGCATAAAATAAAGAGGGGGAAAATGACTAAAAAAATAGGATTTCTGTATCAATGATCTATCAGCAAGTATATGAACACTGTAGCCGCCTAAATGACCCGGTACGGTTGACAGTGGATAGCCTACAACTATCCTCTGCAAAATATTCTCATGTAGTTACGTGTTTATGGTCTCACACAGGTAAGTTCTATTCACTGCCTTACGGGTATGTTCTTCACAAAAGTGGAAGGATGAACGTGAAAGTATGGTGCTTCAAACTGGTTTAGTTGGACAGCTTGGTCAACCTATGACACCTGGAGCACCCTGATTGCAAACCTATGCCCGCCTATATGGGCTCCAGAATTTCAAATAATTGGATAATGTATAAACCCGGTTCGGTAACCGGAAACCATGGGAATATACACCTCATACCCCTGCGTTCCTGCCTTGTGAATCAGAATTCAGGCCAAAGATGCCAGGAGTGGCCCCTGAAGACAACCACCTCCTTCATTCTTGGCACTGTATCAGTCAATGAAATCTGTCTGTCTTCGACAGAGAACTTTGCACACAGACAGACAATGGAATACACAACAGTTAGTTTAAGCCAGCCAAGTAGGAAGGTGTAGACTTCCTAACTGGTTGTGGTCTTCGGGACGGTAAACACCAATGAAGCCTGGAGATAATTATCGGTGATATGACTCAAAATCGTTGTCAATGGCTCGTGTAGATGCATCCACTACTTCTGACTTATAATATCCAATGAAACTATATTTTTCTTCGTCATTACTATTCTTTTTGCCTTATATCTCTGTTTACTGTCTCTATTTTGCATTTCTTTTTACTTTCTTCTTCTCTTGCTTTGTGTGCTCCATTAGGAGAGAGAGAGAGTGTGTGGCGACTCGAACTGCCGAGCATCGGTGCAAATTTCTATGTCGAGACCAGTCAGTCAGTCAGTAAGCCTCCAGTCAATTCATAAAGATTTCACTCTATACTTCAGAAAAATACCAATTGGTTAAGACGTATTTAGCCTATTTCACTTCATAATACTCGGGAGAAAAAGAACCCGTATATAAACATGAACATAAGAATATACAGTTCAGCGAAGAGGCTCTTCCCGACGACTATATATATATATATATTCATTTAGCCTTGAATGTATGCATATACATAGCCAAAAGCAATAAAAAGACAAATTAGTAAGGATTATTGTTTACCCCATCATCATCAAAATATTTCAGAATAATGAAAGTTCATCTCGATGTAACTAAGTGAGACAAGATGCATTTTATGAGTTTAGACTAGACGTGTTGAGTTCAACAGCGACAGGGGGAACATTCAAGTAACACACTGGGTGTTAATGGAAACACCATAGAGACAGATAAGTATGGAAAATAAAAAGTTATCATGTAACAAGTGCTAATAGTTATAAAAAAAAGGCCAACATCAAGAATACAATAGGAGAGAAAATGAGAACACTGATAGTAATTAAATAACAACTGCAGTGTAACAAAGAAGTGAGATGATCCCACGCCCTGATAAGAGTAAAGATATAGTCTGAATGCATTAGTAAACTCTACCTACACAGACAATAGGGTGTGGTAATACTTTCAGACAACAACAAAAGCAAGTTGTCTCTATCTAACATACAGGAAGATAAAACTAAGATATAATTGAGAAGCAACTCAAAACAAAAATCTTGAAAAGGATGCATTCATTCCTTGTGGTCTCGTATATCCAATAAACCATCATGTTGCTCCATATTACTATTCTTTTTGCCTCATATCTCTGTTTACTGTTCCTGTTTTGCATTTCTTTTTACTTTCTTCTTCTCTTGCTTTGTGCGCTACGTGGAGTAGAGTGTGGCGACTTGAACTACTGAGCATCAGTGCAAAGTTCTATGCTAATACCAGACAATCAGTTTGAGCGTTCGGCGGACAGTATTCCACTCTTCGCATAAACAATGAGATTTTGTAAAGAAGAAATCAACACTGTGACCAAAGTGGATTCCGAAAAATCCAGGATGTGTTCGAAATTAGTAATTAGAGTGTCCATTTCTGTTTAAAGGAATTGAAACCTGATAAATACTCTCTATTTTCACATCAGACCTTTTGTTTACCAATCTTATGGCAGGTATATGCTAACTCCATTATGGATAAGAGGATCATATCAACCTGATATGATTACGAGCAGCAATAGTTTGCGCGTTCGAAACGTGGTCATCAGTTAATATTACTGTATAACACAACACTGTGTGTGACAGTTTATCAAAATAAAATCTTATCCATAATGGAGTAGTTATGCTCTACCACCACAGAGTTCCAAAGTTTTATACTTATATACCAATAATATGCTAAGGTAACCCTAAGCTTAAGATAGACAAAGAAGTCTCCAACTGGAAGACTTAAATATCACAATAGTCAATTCCACTAATAAAAAAAAGGTATGGGGCATTCATTACAAATATTACCAAAATGAAACTTACTAGACCTTCTGGAAACGCTCTTTTAACAAAACGACCTGAAGGATGAATAATCAAACCAGGGCATATAGCAAATTTAGGATTCTCCAATGTGTGCGTGTTTAACTCTCCAGGCCATGATAACATCAATTGTTCACGAATTGTTATGTCATCAACTATAAAACTTGTTAAAAATTCTTTATCATATCTTTCTTTGCATAATTTATCAAAACTGGAGAGTAGAACATCTACAAGCATTTTTTTAAAAATTATATTGATAATAAAGTTTAACTTACAATTATTTGCATTGACATTGCATACCATAATGTTACAAATTAAGATAATAATACTGCCAAGTACTACATTATTCATGGACGTATTTTTATATACAAAAATGAATTGTTCGATTAATTTTGCAAAAGCATTGCCGATGATAAGTAATCTGAAATGATCAAAAGATAAAAGGCAGAAAGGATTACTTCAAGAGATGCACAGTTCCAAAGTAACGAAAAAGCTGGTGTTTTGTATGCCTATCACTTAGCTCACTGATAGAGCATTCAACTGCAGATCCAGAGGTCACCGGCTTAAAAAGCTCTAGTGCCTCTTTCATCATTCCATGCGTCAGTGTTTCAGTGGTAAAATGCTTACCAATCAGAGATGTGGTTCAGGGTGTGATCCCCACCCGCGGCAACCTTTAGCCTTGTTTAGCCAGTAATACTACGGGTAAAGACAGAAAGGTAAACGTGAGGATGGCAATCCCGACCTGTAAATAAAAATAATACTGCCGCTACTAAAACTCCAAAGACCAAGTTTGGAGCCTTTTGTTCCACTCGGGACGCAAAGGAGTAAAATGAAAACAGTGTTTAATGCCTCAGTAGTTATGAATGATGCTTATTAGAAATTTGCTTGTCAGCACGCTTTACAGTCTGGTACAATATATATGATATAATACATTTGGGTGAATTAACCTTGCACTTCTAGAGTTAAATAATTATTTAAATCCAACAAAACTCAAAACCGATCATAACTGACAGAGCAATAATAGAGAGTGAAGATATTATCATACTGCTCGTTAACCTCACTCAGACAACCGTGAACAGTGTTTGCTCAGTATGCATTGTTTGGACAGAATCTGTGATTTCGGGATTTAGGTACTTTTATTTACCTGTTGCATAAGTTTTTATTTTTTTCTCACACGACCTCCTCCATATCATCCTCAGACATACGACCAACTGGGTGTTTCCCATTTTGATACCCTTTGAGGATGTGGTGTGTGATGACGTGCGTGCCAAGTCTCTGAACTATATAATAAGTTCAAATCTTGTTCTCCAGGTTGAATGCAGTATATTTCTACAATGATTTCAGATTAATAAATGTTTGTCTTGCTTTTCCGATCTTACCTTTGAAACCCCTAACCATGCCGTCTGTAATCGAAACAATACTAGCTAGATTAAGTGAAGAAGTAAATTCCTACCTATTTGATCTCCCAAGGTCTGTACGGTCAAAGAAAATCAGTATTCTTAGCAATATCAGCTGAGATACTGATAGTTCATTCAGCAACTCTCAATAACAAGCAATGAATTCATAATTTGGTGTTATATTTCACTTTATTTATACTTGAGTTTTCTGAACTTAGTCCTACTTCAGCTACATCTGAAAAGTGGGTTAAGCACTGACTGACTGGTTGGATTCAAAAAAAGCTTTGCATAGATGTGCACCAGCTAGAGTTGCCATTCTCCATATATGTAGCACACAAAGCAAGGGAAGAAAGTGAAGTAAGGTTCAAAAGATAGGTAATAAAGAGAAGAACAATATAGTTTCATTGGATATTATAATTCACAAGGAGTGATGCATCTGCGCCATCCGTTGAGAACAATTCTGAGTCATATGACCGATTGTCTCAAGCCTTCATCGGTATTTTACCGTCCCGAAGACCCCAACGAATCAGGAAGTCTACACCTCCCTGTGTGGCTTAAACTGTTTGGCAATGAATGGGATTGTGGGACTTATACACTAACCAACTGAGTACACCATTATAAAATGAATAGCTTCCATGTTTGTACTACACTAATAAGAGTCAGTCAGAAGGGAACTAACCACTCGCTACATGATTTCCAGAATGATCTATGTAGTGATTGACAATTTCTATCTCTGTATTGTTTAAATACTTACTGTTGATTGTTAATATATTTCTTATATGAATGGCAATATAATTCCGCTAAATACAAATTCCTGAATTCCGCCCTCTCTGTGTTTTGGTTGGATTCTTGTAATTCGGTCATCTCGAAATACTAACTTGTATTACATAAGTAAGTTAGACCTGTGGTTAGACGTCTCATTTACGTGAAACTATTTACCGTACCGATGCCCAGATGTAACCATCAAAACACTTTGATGAAACAACTCACCGTAGGTTTAATAGTTCAAAATGCTGTCTGATTACAGACTTTTATAGTCATTTCGCTGTTCCTTCTGAAAATTCAGTTGGGAATTAACAACTTTCAAAATTGAAATATTAAAGATGGCTGTCTGTTGCCAGATTTGTTGCCTTGGGATTCAAATCTTGCTGATAACTAGACAGAAAAAAGTGGTTTTGAACTCCTAAATAAAATGTAAGTAAATATCTTTAAAATATTACTAGATTTTTGAACATAAATTGTATATGCGAAATTATTCTCATACAGCTGCGAAGACAAGCGATGCTCATGTGTTTACATAATCCTTAAAGTGAAAGCAAGAATGCAAAGAAGACGAAGAGAGTCTGCTATTCGACTTCAACAATCTAGCGCAGCGAAATGTTGTAAAAGAGTAGCGCTTAGATTAACATACGCGCGCAGCTACAATATCAAATATCACTGTAACCAACTGATTGGCTGAAATTATCCGTCACTTATCAAGGTCATTGGTGGAGTGAGGCGCTCGAAGGTCATTTTCGTCCATTTTATTCGGCCATGTTGGATCGCAGTTCCGTAGCTGTTCGTTAACGCGTTTGTTGTTCCGTTTATCCTGCCGTTATACACGACTTATCTTGTTGCGTATCGTTCACAAATGTTGCGTTTCACCTCATTTTTTGTTTCCGTTGCTGTTAAAATACCTTGCATTCATGCGGCTTTGAGTGTTTTAGTTGGTTTTCAGCTGTTAATGAATTAGTACTGTGTAGAGGGTTTTGAAATTGTGCACATGAAGATGTTTGGCTGTCAGAAGCAGTTGTTTCCAGTCCATTAGTTGGTTGCCGTTACAATTGTTGGCTCAGTTACTTGCATAACATGTAGAAATCTGGAAAAAGAGTGTCTTTTTCGTTCATGTTTGCAGCATACAACAATCTGCGAGTGAATCTGTTGAAGAGAGCACCATCAGAGTTGGTATTAGCAAGGTTTTCGAAGAACAAATTAAACCCAGAGAATTTAGAACCTGGGTTGAAGTTGAAAAAGCTTTGAAGATTTTTGAGAATGTGAATATACCATCCGTGTGTCTGCTATCATTTAAAAAAATATATTGTGAGAGAATCTAAGCCAAATAAGGTTGAGCCGCATGAAAAGTATGAATCTGTTGTGCTTGTGTATATTTTGGGGGAACTAAAAGAACCTGGAATCCTTAAGGGTAAGTGTTACTTATGCTTATTATTGCTTGATGTACTAGATCGCAATAAATGAACTAGGACTACCCGTAATAGAGCCAGTGTTAACATCCATTCGATGGGTTGCAAAACGGTTTTCAAAGCGGATAAAATACGGTGATCTGGTGAGTGTTCAAACAATCCCAGTTAAAGGTAAGACATTAATTAGGAAGAATAACGTTTCGGGTTGTAGTCTACGATTGATGGTTTCCTCGAAGTTGTGATTCTTCCGTGACTATAGACACAGATGTTCACGATCTTAAAAAAAACTAAATAAATTATCCTTGAACCAGTAGTCTTCTTTTCTTCGGCGAAACATCCGTTAATACGACTATACGATTAGGTAGCGAAGTAAGATGTTATGTGACTGAGAATCGTGGTTGTTGTGTTTCTGACTAATTTCGCACAATGTTTATAGGAGAACTGTTTGGGATCGTTAAAGGCTCTGAGTGAGGGTTAAAGATTAAGTAAGAGTAACTTTCCCTTAGTTCGTATATACCTCATTTGATTTGAAACAAAGGAAGCAGGTCTTATTAACGCTTGTAACACTAGAAAGTTTGGCATTTATGGGAGAATTTATGAAAGACTTGTTTAGTTTACACACACCAAATGAATAGGAAATACTGGAGGTAATTACATGCATACAGGCGTAGGTTATTTAACATCTATAAAGTAGACATGCAAATACCGCAGTTTTTGATCACAGAAATGATGGATACTAGATAACATCCTATGATTCAACGGCATATTAAAATAAATAAAAAATGTTTCTTAGCTGATGGTCAAGTGAACAGTCTATTTGATGTCACTGCATATTAACGGATTAGTGAAGTAGATATCAAGCCTAAGTTACTACATTTACTTGTACTACATACTTGGCGTTTAACAGTAAACAGACTTTCAACTGGTTAGATAAGGCGACTTTAGAGTATCCAACAGTACAGAATTATTATTCAACTTGCTAAATCCCACTTAGCTTTTACAATGTGCTATTGTGTAGAAACAGACACGAAATCCTACTAATGACTAAAGTAACATTCTCATAATACTACAGTGAATTTCCATCCCACTAACTAAGCTTAGCGTTTATTATTCCTAATTCACTTATTACAAAAGCACATTGTATAGCGAGGAATTGAAGAAGTCTACAGGAAGAAGTAATCAAGAGTATATTAAACATTTGATTAATTTACAAAAGAAAATTCTGATGAAGGGTAATAAAGTTAGTTTGACCGAATGATGTTTCCGCTGATTTCATATTCGACAACCTCCGTAAACCTGGAAAAAATAAAGTACATGTTAGAACTAGCATAACATGAAGTTAACAAGAGACAATTCTACATATTAGCATACAATATGAATACAATCATTCTGTTAAAACTAAGTATTATCTCAGGGAGATAAATGTATTTGTAGTCTACAGCTGATATTTATGTTGACGCCGTATACATAAATATACATCATATGTTTTCCTGCATTTGAGGACTATATGCAAATTTCAAGGCAATCTCCGAAACATTCATACTATTGAGGCGTCATTCTCTCATCAAGCTTACTTGCAGATCAACTTCACACTAAACACTTTTACATGAAATGAAGTATTGCAAGTGTATAACTTAGAAGTTAATCCACAATCTCAGTAATGTCTAGTCCACAAGGTTTTGTGAATCCTACAGAAATCACATTTTCACATTTAGGAGACTATAGGCATCAAATATAAGCTGAACATGCCTCAACTCTAGACAGCTATGCACAGTGCTAACAACATAGTGAAACACTTCAACTATTGTAAAGTACACAGACCTGTTGTGTTGATGAGGATAATAATGTCATATAATGCAAACTAGAAAATTCAATCGTCATAGAGCATCTGTACTGCTTTGTCTAAATGGAAATCTCAGGAGAAATTCATCTCCACTATTGGTGATCAAAAATATTGTAGCATTAAGTATACAGTCAGTGGAAATTGTAAAAGAGAATAAATTCATATTAATGATAATAAAGCTGAATAGATTCAGTTCTAGTAACCACCTTCGTTTGTTATCCTATCAGTCAGCTTAGTACACAATGGCACAATATTATTATAGTTGAGATATTTTTGTACATTTAATTAACATAACCCATAGCACACTGCACCAACCAGTGCCAATATATATGAAATCCATTTAGAGATAACCTTTCAACTTACCATAATTCCTGTCCAACCACATATAAAGTGAAAAGCACATCTAAATGACAACTTAGGTTCCCACCAACGATTCTGATAACATTTGCAGGTGATTTCCAAGTATTGAGAGAGTTATTTTGTCAAAAAAGACTGTTCTTCACACGAAAATAGGCTGTATTGATATCCTGAGACATGAAGTCTTCATTGAATGATACTATGCCGAAAGATGCAGCTTCTACATGGAGTAAATGAGTGGTGCAAATGGCATTACCCTCTAACTATCCTATCTCCCTCATTACACCGACATTTTGATACATTCCATCTGAAACACTAATCATTGCAACCAATATGCTAAAAGTGTGTCGCAGTCAGATCACATGAGGCGGACACAAACATAACCAGCCAAAAAGTGGGAATTTACCTCAATCTAGATAACATATAATACAATTTTATTAAAAATTATTGGCAAAAAAAATTCCAAACGTAACTTCTAGAGTACGTGACGAATAAGTCCAGCCCAACTGATTTCTTTCCGTTCAATATCCAATACCATTTTTACGAGCAAGTATAAACCTATTTGATTTCTTTCTGCTCACTTTTTGATTATAAGGTATAAGTTCCTGATCTTCGATCTCCGCGTAGCTCGTCCCGCCACTCGACTGTCGTAGCTTTGTGTGGTGATTGACTATTTCTATCTTTGTATTGTTTAAATACTTACTGTTGATTGTTAATATTTTCATATATGAATTGCATAATAATTCCGCTAAATACAAATTCCGGATTGCTGCCCTCTCTGAGTTTTGGTTGCATTCGTGTAATTCCGTCATCTCGAAATACTAATATTTCAAGTACAATAAATTACTACAAATTGGCGTCGCGATGGAGCTAAGTAACCTGGGAAAATTCCCCATTAATGGGTCTCCACGGGAGATTGCTGATTATTAGGAATGCTTCGATGCGTGGTGCATTTCCAAGAATGTTCGGGATGACAAAATACCTGCTCATTTCATCACTGCTATTGGGCTTGATGCATATAGCCTGGTGAAGAATCTGGCGTTTCTAGATAAACCCATTTCTATGTCATATGACAAGATCCGTGAAATTCTGACAAATCACTTTCATGTGACTACATTTGAGACCAGAGAGAGGTTTCACTTCAACAAACTGGTACGTTCTCCCAACCAGAAGATTAGAGACTTCATTCTTCAACTTCAAATTCAAGCCTCAAAGTGTAACTTTGGAGATCAGTTGCATACTCAACTACGTGATCGTTTAATTGCTGGAATCAATATTCCTAAGTTAGAGAAAGAGTAAATTCAGATTCCTTCTTGTACCTTCCAAACTGCTAAAGATTTATGTATTACATATGTCAGCCAAGTCTCATAAACCGTTAATGCCCAGCTCTCGCTACGCTCGGGCCCACGCTGTTCTTCGAAGATTTCGGAAACGCTTAGTTATAACGGACGAAAAAACCAAAACACCGATCTGCCGTTTGATATTTCTGTATTGTTACACCAACATATAAAAGGAATAAGCGAACTAAGCAAACCAAGGTCTCAAAACAAATATTACAATAATAAATCTCTGTATTACTTCTGACGATGTTTCAATCTTCTTTCTGAACAGCGACCGATGAGACGATGACTGTCGTATTGATGCCTCCGCGAAAATCGAGGAAGTTGATTTTGAGCAAACAACCAAGAATTGATCGTTCAATCTTCAACTCCATTGACAACATATGAAGATGTCCATAATGAATACTCTGCTCCCACTACGTCAGTGTCTGATGTCATGCTTTCTAAAGTCGAATATACAAGTGTTCATGGAAAGCAATCCAAACTGCCGTCCACAGGTAATAGAATGCAGCCAGAGATCAAAAACATTAAACCGTGTTTATCCTGTGGAAATTTACATCTACGAAGCACTTGCCGTTTTCGGAGTGTTAAGTGTCACAAATGTGGTAAAGTTGGACACATCAAGGCTGTGTGCAGAAGTTCGAATACATATGTTACTGAGAATCCTGATAATTCTTCCAATTTATCTGGTAAAATGCAGTCGATGTCTCTTTCAACTTTTCCCAATACTCCATCTCATCTAATGAGAACCTTCACTACAAGTTCAGGCAAGTCCCATTGTTTTATAATTGATACTGGGAGTACTGAATCTATAATTTCTAAGAAAGATTTACAATCGATTTGTAAGAATGTCCAGATAGATCCTACTACTAGTTCAATTACAGGCATAACTGGTCATAAATTACCTCTTATCGGTGCTACTAACATTCCTTTGAAATCAGACAGTGGTAATTT